CCTCTTCCTCAGAATCTAGCAGGTACTTCCTACTCATCTTGCAGAGTCAGCTCTGGCTGTTCTTCCATCTTCCTTCTCCTGATAGCCAAATCGGGCTTTGCACCTTGTGATTTAATGAATGCAGAATCTGTATGATAATGATTTTGGTGTGTCCCCATCTGACCTCTTCAGAATTCTGTGAATTCTTTAGGAACAGGAGGTGTTTTTAAAAAACTTTCCAATGCCTGAAAGCATCTAATAGATGATCAGTTACCATACGTTGAATTTAATTTGTTAGATCGTAGAGTAGAAATCCAACCTCCATCTACTGACACAGAAGTAGCACCCAACCCCCTTTCCTATGCATTTTAGTTGGCCTAAAACAGACCTTTTCCTGCCAGCTGATGCTTATGTATCTTTAGGTATGAGAAATGTAAGCCTATAGCTTTATACAGTTGCCCAAAGGCTGAGGACTCAAGGAAAGCCAGAAAGGGACAGAGTTTATCTGGTTAGCCACATGAACACCATGAATATCAGTTGGCAGCCTGAGTTCCCGCCTTGGTGTTCTTATCTAGTACAGGATGACCAGCTGGGTGAGCTAATTAGCCCTGGAGTCTTGCTTATCTTCTAAGTCAGCCAGCTCCCCCCCCCATACACCATCAATTCACAGCTGTAAAAAATGCTATAGCACGAAAGAAAATACTTCACAAAAAAAATGTGCTTTGTAGATTTTAATAAGGATTACACATGGCCTGTGAAGGAGAATTAGGCAGAAAACACAGGAGCGGTGTGTGTCCTGCAATTAGTGTGGTTTTTGTTGTTTGTGTTTTTGTTGTTGACACACAGATCAGGAGAGATTTGTGTCCAGAGAATGATCAACGTAAAAGCCAAACGTTTTCTGCATTTTGATCATATTCTCTTATATTCTTTTCAAAAATACACTAGAGGTTATGCTTAAAAGAGATCTTTGGATGCAATCATCTATATATCTCTTAGGATATTCCCAGAGATTGCTTTTAAATGTTCTGCCCTTATTTCACATGCCCTTAGAAAATAAATGATAGTGGTATAGAGTTAGGAGGAACCATGGAGTTCATCTGACCTGAGCTGCTCCCCTCTACATTTTCCTAAAAATGGTGATGCAAGTTAAAAACAGTAAATTACAATATAAAATTATTTCCTTTGAAAATGGAATAGAAAACTGCAGAGATGTAAATGGTGCACATTTGCCCTAATGCAAAAATTGCCAACACGTAATTCATATTATAGCCTGATTGTAAGTTGCGCACTTAGATGCCTCTTGAATAGTGGAGTTTAAAAAATAAAAGCAAAACAAGCCATTAAATATGGCAAATGGCTTTCTCTATTGATTTCTCTTTTAATCTGTTAAGTAAAGCAAATTCCAAGACAATTTCTATTATGCACATATTTGATAATTACTTGAAGTTATGAAAGAATATAAATTAAATTACATCAAGCACCTCATGCAGTAGACTATGTCCTTTATGCTTTTATTTATACTACCTCATTGTATATAAAAGGTTCATGTAAATACTAAGGAGGATGGGTTTGTTCCCATAATATTTAACTTTTGTCTACACATTTTATAGTTCCCATTAATTAGTCAAAGTGAGATTTTCCAATCTCAATTTGCCTAACATGGAAATTAATGAAAGCTTTTATATATTTTATTTCAGATATTTAAAAAATTATATTGACTTTGCAATTCAACTTGCAGAGACTACTTCATAAGGAAACGAGGAAGAAAAAGACAAGAACAAAAAAATCCCACTTTCCTCTTTTAAAAACGATCATTATTTAGGCTATAGATTATTCTATAAAAATATGTACCAATTAAGTATGCATTGCTTTCATCCATATAATTTGTATTGATTGTACAAAAATGAAACTCTGTATGTAAATATAAGTACTTGATGCACTTTGGGCTTGAAAACAGCAATGAGATACACAGACATGAAATAGGAATGAAATGAAGAACAAACACAAACCAATCAGAGATTACATTTAAATATTCTCACACCTTATGAATCAGTGAAAGGCACTGTATATACTGAACAGAGCTGTGTTATTATAATGTAATATAAATACAGTTTCCAAACACTTCTATGGCCAGTTACATGCCAAGGATGCAAATTTGATTAATGTAAACCTGATTACTATGCTTTGAGAGAATTTGTGGCTTGGTGGAAAAGAGTTAAGGATTTGGACAAAGATGTCCTTAAAATAACTATTATAATGGAGGTAAGTACACTTGTGAGATGGTGCACCTAGACTTCTCACTGTGGATGTAGCCCTTCAACTGAGACCCAGGGGGCCTAGGACTACCACAATCAACCGCAAGCAGTATTCTTTCTTTCTTTAATTTAGGAAGGCTTCTTGTTTGGGCAGAATGCATGAAGACACCACTGTAAGAAAATAAAGATCATATTTTCATGTAGTTTGACTTTACTGAGTGGGCGTGGCCTCCCTAGGACGGCTGCCGCCTTCCCTGTTTTTTCTTGCCAGGTTGACCCCTCCTGGATACTCGAAGGGCCTCTACCTGTTCTCCTATCTGACTTCTGTCTCTGCAGAGCCCATTCCTAGCTACTCACTCAAATGTTGCTTCTCACTAAGGCCAGACCCGGACCATGCCTGGGTCCTGAACCAACTCTCTACAGTGTCTCCTGGGAAGAAAGGGTCTCTGGATACCAAACTTTATCACACCTCAGCTGGGACCATGTGCCAACCACTTCCTTAACTCAACAGTTTAGACTGGCATTCACTGCTGGCCTCTAATTCAATAGCACGCATAGTTCCAAAATCAATAAGTCAAATATACTTGTCTTAAAAAAAAAAAAAAAAGAAAAGAAAAGAAAAAGAAAAAAAAAAAGAAAAGGCTTTTGCTTATTAGGGTCAAAGTATAATCAAATGAAGACCAGGCCTGAAGAATCCCTGAACAGACAAAACCAGTGTGGTGTCATAAATAATTTCAACCTTGCTTGATTTATAAACATAAGCAAAACTTAACTTATTTCTTATAAATACCTACATTAAAAGAAAAAAACAGAACTCAAGCTCAACCAATCAGAAGTAGCCAACAAACCTATAATTATGGAACTAGGGACTTTTCCCAACGGGATATACGAATTAAGGCCACTGTATACCTGTAACCAATCAAACATCTTCCTTGCTTTATTTCCACGTACATCCTATAAATGCCTCCCCCTCGGTGGAGCTCTTGAGACACTTCTGGTTTGGAGCTGCCTGATTCATGAATTTTTGTGTGTTTAAATAAACTCATTAAAATTTTATTGTGCCTCAATTTAACATTAGCCTAACATACATCCTGTGCATAGAAAAAGGCTACACAGAGAAACCCTTTCTTCCTTAGACAACAGGGGACAAAAAAAAAGAGCGAGAGAGAGAAGAAAAAATAATTAAAGAGATCCTTTTACCCATGAAAGTTTTGGAGGAAGATACTTCCTGTGATTCAATGCTGTAGGTATGCAGAGATATTTGAAACTGATAAAGCCAGGAAGTTGCTGACGGGAAGTCAGATTTCTTTATGGATATAAACGTCTTCCTGAGAGAACTCTGACCAGAAGAAGACAGTTGTTCATCTGCAACTTAGGAGATATACTGGGGAAAATGAACAGTCTTTCCATTAGACATGCAGTGGGAAAAACCAAGGGATAAAGTCAACGACAAAGCAAAGTTTTTTAGGTGGATGTGGCATTTTAGAATTGCCTATAATAAGTGGAAAGCAACAGATGATGTAATTTAAATTTCTTCTCAAACTGAAAGCAGGAAACGTAACATAAAGGATTGTCAGATTAATGTTCTTTACATACCTGGTTTATTTTAATCCCTGCTATATTCTTAGGTGATATTAATGCACTTTATAAGATTAAATAAACTGAGGTTAAGGAAAAGTGTGTGTGTGTATGTATGTGTGTGTCTAGTGTCTATGTGTGTGTGGTGTGTGTGCATGTGTGTATACAAGCTCACATGGCTGATATGCTGGGGGACAGTGTTTAACTGTAGGTCTGTCCAAGCCACTCAGGGTAAAATAAATTACACCAAAGGCCACAGCCACCCTGAAAAGTTTGGTGCATCATGTGACGCACCTTTCAGCCCCCTCTTTTTTTATCTATTTAGACACATGATATTTAATAAAGAAATTAAAGTAACATTTTAACTTCACTTAATCTTATATAATAATTGATAGCAGCATTTTTTTGAAATAGGCAATATGCCTTAAAATTATAGATGATGTATGCCATTTTTCACCCAGAAGAATACTGCTCCCAGGAAAGTGTATCTATGCTCTATTCTCAATCCTACTTTCTCTTGGGCTCCCTCTCACTTCCATCTTTCTCAAAGACGTTGGTTTCATTTTACACTTAAAAAAAACATTTATGATTCTACATTTCCCCACTCTCTTACTTCCTCTCATCAGAGCCACCATCCATTGTGTTTCAAAGTAGTATCTGGCAGAAATTGTCTTTCCCCTTATCCTACTGAGGATCAGCACCCACCAGTATCATACCATTTCTTTGATTTTCTTTCCTTGTTATATCCTCATTAATGGATAACAAAAACAAATTAGCTGAATGCATTATCTGGTAAGAAAGATGCAATGTTACTGGAAAGATAACCAACCATTGTACACTAGATAGAAACATTGCCTGCACCAATTTTTTGAAAGTACTTCACTATTACACAATAGCCAAGATTCTCAAGTCACCTGCCTCTACCTCTCTTAACCATAGACACTTATGTCCAAAAGCACCTTCATTTGGCTATTCAAAAACAACTTTAAGTCCCAATTCCAAAAGGAAACTCAACGGGCCCACCAAAATAGCTCCTTTTCCAACCAGTTAATGGCTCCGTCATCCGCCCAGTCACTCAAATTCGAAACCTCCAGCCTTGTTGATTCTTTCCTAACTGCCCCCTCTGTCCAATGTATCCTTTAGTTTATTGTAATTTTCCAGAAAAGTAATTTACAAATATTGTCTTACCGCTCAATTTTCATCTTCATATTAGCTCAGGTCTTCTTCACTTTTAAACTAATCTGATCAACAGCCAGCAACTATGTTTATAGCTTCCAGTCTCACACCTTTCTTCTCCTGGAGTTGCTGTTTAAAATACAAAATTGAACACACATCATTTCTACTAAAAACTTAGTTGACTCTCATTGCTGATGATGTAAGGTTTAAAATCCTCAATAGAGCACACAGACTCTTACACTCTCTACTCAACTTGCACATGTAACTCCAGCCACTCTCTCCTCTAAGTATCCTATTCTTCAGCCAGCCATGCTGAACAGCTTCCTTTCCTGACAAGTGAATAGCATTTATCCATCTCCAGAAAGAGACCTAGCAGAGTTCTAGACACAGAGACACTCAATGTTTATTAATGTAAATGGTATATTTGAATTTTCCACCTCTCCAGCTGGACGTGGCTTTTCTTTCTCAAATTTTTATGTTTATCTGTGCCTCTCTGACAAGTGACTCTCAAGATTGGAGAGAAAAAAAGTTTCTCTGTGCATCTTTCGAAAGAGTTGGCCATTGATTCCTGTAGCAGGTGGTGCATGGTTCTCACAAATGTGGTGGACTAAGATGGTAATCAGAAAAGGAGATATGAAGAAGACAGATGTGATGTCCAAAGCACTCTGTGGGACATAGAAAATCAGACCATTTTCCCCAAAGTGCTAAGGGTCACTCTGACAGCGCTAATGAACTCCACAGGGCTCGTGGACTCAGTCATACATGATTCATGGTTTGATGGAACCACTTTATGCTTTAAAGTCAGTAAAAGCTGAATATAAAGTCTGGAATCACCACTTAATTTACAGTAAGTCCTTGGGAAAATCTTAATTAGCCTTTCTCATCCTGATTTCTAAAATAAAAATGGGGATTGCAGTTTTCACCCTGGGTGGCAATGAGGGTTAGCAGATAAGGCTTAGCATAGGGTCCAGCACATGATAATAGATACAGGAAAGTGTTATTTTTAGTCTTTCAACAAATGTTAGCAGAAGAATTATATTTCAAGGTCTAATTATGCTATTGATACCAATAACCATTTTAATTATTAGGATTTTTTGGAGATACAAATTAGGTCCAGTGGAATAGATCTAAAAATATTTATATTTAGACTTATGATAAGTTTATCTTGTGTGCCTGAAAATTAATTGAAAAATGTTATCACAAATTGAATAATAATTCACAATTTTAAAACACTGAGTTTATTATTCTTTTAATCAATGAAAAATCATAGCACTTAGAGTTACAAAAATCTACTAAAAATTCAAATATTAATTTTACCCCTTAAAATCTGTATTTAGTCAAATAACTTAATTTCTCTAAAGACTGGGATAAGAACAGTTTATTATTGAATAACTATGAATACCAAAAATTGCTGGCAACTTGGTAAATTAGTGTTACCCCTTTCTTCTTCCATTCTGAATTACATTTCTCCTTAAGCAATTGTTCATAGGATTTTTCTGGAGGAAGAATTGAAAAGCGCTTTGTAGAAACAATAGTTTATTCTGGGAAATGATAACATTTCATAAATATCAAAAATTTCCAATAGAGAAGTCATTAAAAATAATTTTCTCAAGATTTCAATATTTTCTTGTTATTTTGGAAAAATGTACAAAAGCATGTTGATTTCTCTGTGCCTTTTCCATTGTGTGCATGTTTTAAAAACATGTTTGGTTATAAACATTTCCCAGTTGGCACCCTGGGAGGCTTCTCGCTTGTTTGAGCACATTGAACAATGAGCATTTCATGGAGCTGCATGAATATTGCTGTAATCCACTTGTCTGAACATCCTGACATAAACTAAATTTCATAACAAAATAAAACAGCCATATCATAAAACAGAAAAAAATAAAACAAAATAAAAGCTCTTCAGCAGGTATATATAACTTCCCATGAGTTATTTTTCTCCTCTGTAAAATGCCAACAGTAGTTATGTCATATGGCTATTCCAGAATTTAGTTTAAATGTGCTTAAACCAGCACGTGACACCAAGTAGTAATAAATGTCAGCTAAAACACAAAACTGAGTGACATCAACTCACTGAGTGATATCTTTTATTTTAAGGCTCAATTTTGTCCTGTCCTTAGAAATTTTCCAGTAGGTGTATTGGTTTTCTTTCTTTTTTTTTTCCTTCTTTCTTTTCTTTCTTTCTTCTTTCTTTCTTTCCTTTCTTTCTTTTTTGTTTGTTTGTTTGTTTGTTTTTGAGACTGAGTCTCACTCTGTCTCCCACGCTGGAGTGCAATGGCCCGATCTCTGCTCACTGCAGTCTCCACCTCCCGTGTTCAAGTGATTCTCCAGTCTGAGCCTCCCGAGCAGCTGGGATTACAAGCGGCCGCCACCACGCTAATTTTTGTATTTTTAGTAGAGACAGGGTTTTGCCGTGCTGGCCAGGCTCGTCACAAACTCCTGACCTCAAGTGATCCGCCTGTCTCGGTCTCCGAAGGTGCGGGGATTACAGACGTGAGCCACCATGCCAGGCCTGGTATGCCGCTTTTCAATTACGAGAGAGAAGCTGATAGGCTGATGATGATGTCGGGGGAGGAGTTTAGGTTCAAAATGAGAACAGGGAGCGGTGGTATGGGGAGCGAGAGGTTTGGTTTATTTCATAGTTTGTAAACACATAATATAGATATGGGTAATCTGTATATAATATACATAGATGTCATGATGCACATATTCAATTTAGAGTTTGCTGCAAGCTCTTTCACACTCTGTTTATGAAATAGAAAGCATAGAAATGATTTTTTTATTTTTATTTTTGCTAGATAAACAAATTGAGCATTCTGAGCTGAGGGAGGTAAACCCATTAACAGAGAGATCTGGAATTTAAGTCCGAGTCTTACACTGCTAAGTCAAATTTTATTTTACTCTTTACCATGGCCACTTTCTTATAAATGATTGTGTATTAATTTGTGTATATATATGTATAAATATAAACCTATTTTACATACTTGTGTGTTTTTATATTTTATATACTTTTGTGTAATTTTATATAATTGTGCTTTAGTCTCTCTATGATAAATACATATATTATTTTATAACCATATAAATATATTTGTATAAAAAGATATATTTTGATGAGTATAAGTTTTATACCAAATAAGCTGCAACTTGCCAAATTTAATTCAAGTCACATAAAACGTAATCAATAACAACATATTAACCAATATGATATAGCAGGAAAAACAAACATTTCTTTAAACTGGATAGGGTGGATGAGCTTTCTACTATAGTTTTATAGCACCTGCATGCATTTTAGATAATGGAGTTACATATTTTCTAAAAGTTTAACTATGGTGTTCTTTCTTGCATGCATTATGCTATATTAGCAAGTGGCTTACAGCATGTTAACATGCAAAATCATGTCTCTCCAGTTAGCTACAAACCCCCTTCTATTAAAACTTCCGAAGCAACATTAATGATATATTTGATTTTGAGTCCTTCATGTGCAATTTCAAAGAAAAGAAATCTTATTTTTCTACATACTCTGAAAGGCTGCTCCATACATCATGGGCTGAAGGAAGCAGGTCCTGCATCAGTGAGGTGCAAGCATGTTCTCCTGCTCTAGTTCCTCCAGTCGAGGAATGGCAACAGGGTCAAATGAGTATGACATCATGGATATGAATCTCTCCACCAATCATGAGCATAATTCCAAGTCAACCTTTTCAACGACGTACATTTTTGCATGAATTCTCTCTCATTTATTGAACCACGCTAGGAAATGAAAGGATTATGGTATTAAAGACAGAGTGATACATTCACAATCCAGGTCGTATTTCAATCTAATTTAAACCTCAGCTGAAGGCTTCTTAAGTAGACATGGCCATTAAAAAGAATATCTTTCCCAAATGGAAAGTAAAATAAATCTGATTTTATAGCAGTTACAGACATGGGTTGAAAAATTAATCCCTGGTCCTTTTTTTCCAAACCAGAAAGATTTAGGTGAACCAAAACGTACTAGGCTTTAGACAAACCTTTATTTCAAGTAAAATGGAATTTTTCTGTAAGTCCTCTGTTGTTTTTCTTATCTATTCTTTTGTACATTGGACTTGAAAAGTCCTTGCCCGGAGCTGGTGTGAGAGCTCTTGTATTCATAGCTGGAACCTTGACGGAATTCTAAAAAAGGCAACGCCATAGATGGTATTAATCCATAGTGGCGATTTCCTACCCATCACACACGATTGCATTTCACATAATTTGAATCTGGTGACGATGCCCACCTGTGTTAAGTGCTAAGCACAGGTCACAGTCAGAGGGGTGTTCTCTGGAAATCCAGAGCCCAAGGGCCAGGTGAAAATAACACAAGGAATCTGACCCAGGGGTGAGCACAGTGCAGGAATGGGGAATTAAAAAAAAAAAAAAAAAAGTCAGGTGTCACTTAGATGCAGGAATAAAGAGCAAGCAAGACAAAGGTGAAAATGCCATGAGAAATCCCAGGTGGGAGCCAAGTGCTCCTGTACAGGGGTGTGGCCAGTGAACAGAGATCATCACAGTAGCAAGGAGTGCTCACCACACAGGGACTGGATGAACTCATTCCTCTGACTTGAGCTTCACCCACATGAAGGCTATGTCTACAAACTGGTTCTGGCTTTACATGGTTCCCAATCCCTGGGAGAGGAGCAGTGCAAGAAGAAGGTAAAACACAGGCTTGGATCTGGACTGCTTGGGTTACCATCCCAGCTCTGCCACTTACTAGTTTTGGACAAGTGGCTTACATTCTCTGTACCTCTATCTCTTCACCTATAGCATGGGAAACTAATAATACTTACTTCAAAGTCTTATCAAAAGAAACGACTTATTCCAAGAGTAGCATTTACGACGATAAGTGTTGGAAAGGTGCTTCATTGTGATGGTAGGCTGTTTCCATGAAATTTTCTCCTGCATTTTTCAGTCACGAGTAATTGCTTTTGAGAGAAGAATGTTTTAGTCTTTAAAGTTTGAGTTCCAAATGTCTTTCTTAGCAGAGAGTGTGTCTAAACTAATATTGTCACATAGAAACATTAATTAAGGAAAACACTTCACTTAAGTTAATTTAGCCCTGTTTTTCAAGGCAGAGGTATGGCAGGTCCTCAAATAATGTCATTCTGTTCAATGTTGTTTTGTAATAAAGTTTATGAGAATAAACATTGCCCCCGGCCAGTGCAACTCTCTGTGTAGGTTTTCTCCAGGTACTCAGTTTCCTCCCACATCCCAAAGTAGGGCACGTTAGGTTCACTGGTGTGTCACAGTGGCCTCCTTCTGCACGAACTGAGTGTGTGTATGAGGGCATCCTGCGATGGGATGGCATCCTGTCCAGGGTTGGTTCCGGTCTTTGACCCTGAGCTGCCCAGACAGGGTGCAGTCACCTGCACCCCTGAACTGGAATCACCAGATAAATATCTTATTTGTTTTTATTAGCCTTTCTTAAATGTACACATAGCTCACATTTATTCCAACGTTCAATATTAGAAGTGTTTTAGGGTCTTTATTTTTGAAGTTTGGTGATGTTTTTGTGACCAGAAGCATGCCACAGGAATTTAAGTCATGTTCATATCAATTAGCCTACAGTAATACTGACTTCCTTATACATCATTTTGCTTAAAATCCCAGTTTCCAAGAACTTATTGATGACATAAGGAAGGACTCACTGTATATGCAAACTCATATTCACCATAATGAGCAATTACATAGGCTGAATTTTAACAAACGACATCTCATTTTAATAAGTAGAACTGTACTTGATGGCAGGGGCCGTTTTATTACAGTAAAATTCAACACAGTATTTAGGAGCATTGCTCATGGATCCAATTTCTGAATTCAGCACATACTACTTTTGTGGCCCTGACACTTTTAAGCTCTCTGAGTCTCTGTTTTCCCATCATTAAATGAAAGTAATAATAGTACTTGCCTCACAAAGTTGTGAGGATCAAAAAAGATGCTACATGAAGAGTCTCTAGTATAAGTATTAGCTATTTTTATTGTACCAATTTCGAAGTTCCTGATGCTAAGCAAATTTAGCTGACTTGCCCCAAATTATATACATTTATTTGAAATAGACATTAGAGAACTGATGAGTTTCAGCTGTGAACAATCATATCAATCACCAAAATGATTATCGTATTTTCAAATCTCTTGAGACAGTTTTTATTTAGATTTTTATATTTGGAAGGCACATTGTTGAGATTGAATGATAACTATACTTGCAATATTGCCAGTGTCTGAAAAAAAAAATCCACATAAGTGGAAGGCATCAGGTCCAGACCTGCCACAGTAATTTCAGAAGGTTGGAGACTATATTGGAGACAGAATTTCCAGGACTTAAGATTGTTTATTGAGAACCAATCAAGTCTCTGCAAAACAAGCAGTCTCCAGAACTGGAGGCAGCATGGTGGGACAGGAAAAGAAACAGACGTGAATTCAACTTGAGCACTTTCTATGCTTGAATTGGACATCCTGCACAGCCCCCCTTTATCTTCCTGTCCACCAACAGGAGGCGCCAGTACCCTCTACTCACCTTTACAGCCTTGTTTTGAAGAATAAAGTAATAATGAAAGCACTGTGTAGACCCTAGAGTAACACACACTATAAAGAGTGGAGAACCCAGGCGTGGAACTGAACCAAAAGCTACGTCAGAGTATGGAATCTGAGAGCATCTCCACGCAGATCCAGGGTCCATTTCTGACCCCAGGCGTCTGAGTTAAGGCAGTGGTAAAACACTTACTATGTCATATTCAGGATTCGGTGGGGGGTAGTTAGCAAGAAGCCAGGGGAGACAAGGAGGACAAACAGCCAAACCGAGGAGGCCTAGTCTAGCCCCTTCATGAAGAGGACAATGGGTTGGTCTTTTGGCAGGGTCTTCTCCAGGGGAAGTCACCAGACCTTGGTCAACAGGCAGTAGAGGAGTGATTGGAGGCTTGGAGGTTTGGAAGTTCATACAAAAATATTGTTTGGAATAGCCAATCTGTAATAATATAACCATTCATGCCAGTCACAAAGACACTCAGTAAATGACAATTATTAGTATCACTAATACAAAACTATAATGTGGTAAAGCTACCAGTGAACAGTGGAATGAAAGGAGAGTGATGATTATAGGTTGGTGGAAGGGGAACTGGGAAAACTTTATAGGAAGGGTTATTTTTTTCATCATAACCCTAAATACATTCAGGGCTTCCTAAATTACATATATATATTGTTTATATATATTATATATGTTTATATATTATATATGTTTATATATATATAATATATAGATAGATTAAGAGATGAATGTGCTTTAGGCCAAAAAAGCCACATAAGAAAGAAAATATGCTTTGGCTTAAGATGTATTGTGTTCAAGGAGACAGCAATGTGTCTGTATTAGTCTGTTCTCACATTGCTATAAGGAACTACCTGAGACTAGGTAATTTATAATGAAAGGAGATTTAATTGACTCACAGTTTCACAGGCTGTATAGAAAGCATGACTGGAAAGCTTCAGGAAACTTACAATCATGACGGAAGGCTATGGTGGAAAGGGAAGTGAGCACATCTTTACATGGCAACAGGAGGGAGAGAGAGAATGAGAGAGAGAGAGGTAGCACTAGGGCATGAAGGGAGAGGTACTACACACTTTTAAACAACCAGATCTCATGAGAACTCTACCATGAGGCAGCACTAGGGGGATGGTGTTAAACCATTAGAAACCACCGCCATGATCCAATCACCTCCCATCAGGCCCCACCTCTAACACGGGGAGATTAAAATTCAACATAAGATTTGGGTGGGGACACAGAGCCAAACCACAACAGTGTCCGAGATAAAATTTTCCACTGAACTACACGTAGATCAACATTTGGCTGGAGGAAGAACTGGCAATAAATAGCATTAATTAATTAACTAATTTTTGTCAGCTTTATTGAGGTATGATTGACAAATAAAAAAATTATATACTTAAGATGTAAAATGTGGTATTTTGATATAAGTATAACTTGTGTAATGATTTTCAGAGTCACACTAATTAATATCTTTGTCACCTCACGATTACCTTTATTTGGTAAGAACACTTAGGATCTAAAAAATTCAAGTATACAATACCTTAACTATGGCTACATGTCAATAGTATTTAATTAACAAGAAAAATGCTTACAGGTCATCTCCTAAGTGCCAACCACTGTTTCATACTTTAGAGTTACATCAACAACAAACCACGAACAGAACCAAGGTGATACTAGAAGGTGGACTGATATTATCCTTCAACAAAAGGATGCTGCCAAGTCTTCCACTGAGAAAGCAGATCCTAAATGCCAGTCATATCTCCTAGGATAAGATTAAAGAGCCTAGTAGACCTGGTTATCTAAACCACCAAACGGGCTGACTCTGATTGGACTCTGAGGCTACAATCCATCCCCAGATTAATCTCCAGAAGGCTACTTAAAAGCTACAAAAAAGATCCAGTCAGTGTCCAGCTATAGACACAGATTAAATGACACCAAAGCTTATCCCTGCATGAGTTACCTTGTAAAAATACCAATATTTAACTTTACCAGTATTGAAAGACTCTATGGTTGATTAGTGACAGATTTGAGAAAATCTAAAGCAGAGTCCTATGTGAAAGCAGTGAAGAGTTTTCTGTAAAGAGTTTTTTCTTTTTTAAGCCAATGTACAAACATCATCAGCATTTAAATTAGACTTTGAGGACTAAAGGAGAAGTCTGAAATAATGTGGTTATTCTTGGCGCGCAATGCCTGTGCCTAGCATCTTGGGGGATACCGGTTTTGAAGACTACATTCCAGATCTAATGTCTTGGTGTTTCCATTTAGTGATTTTGAACCTCTGTGTAGTTGAAACATTGAAAGAGAGAACAAAAGAATGAAAAATAAAAATGTAAATGAGCTTATTTAACACACAGCCAAAATTCTCTGATGTTAGGTAATTGCTCAATATACCAAGATAAGCAAGAAATTATCAATTCATCATTTTGAAGTGTCTGCTAGTCTGTGTATATTGACTATTTTTGAAATTATGTACATCTACAAAATACATCTATATCTATAAACTGGTTTATAAGCATGATTAACTTTTCTCATATATATTGTAACAAATTTTATTAGGATTCAAAAAATTGCATATTCTAGAAATGATGACACTGACTGAGGCTCTGTCATGTAGCTCACCTGTAATTACCTGTGATGGAAAAGGGCCCAGGGGCTGGCTGTGTACAATCAAGAGCCACCGATGATAAGCTGATGCATTTCTATTTGTGTGTGTGTGTGCCTGATGGCTGACTCTAACTGACACGAAAGAAAGACCCTTTCTCCCTTAGGTAAAGCATTCATGTTTTGAAGAGAAAGGCCAGCTTTTAGGCCTTTGCATCTTGGAGAAAGAGATTATAAAAATGAGACTCCCTCCCCGTATGCTGCAGTTCAAAAAGACCTGGTATTGAACAACTTAATCTTTTGCAGATCTCTTTTTATATGCTGACCTGACAGGTTCCCAGAAAGCACTGATACTACAAAGCAATTAAAATCAAACACACAGGGAGTTAAAAGCTTTTGCTGTCAAAGCAGAGACCAGGAGAAAGACGTCTCTTTTACAGCACTGTGCTAGACCCCAGAGACCAGACCAACCTGGGCCCTACAGGCTGGAAGACACTGAGGGGAACCCAGAAGCCAGCACAAGCAGAATTTGGATTAAGGTATACTCCAATTTTGGGGAAAGAAGACAATGACATAAGCTGGGCATGGATGGAACTGGTACCTGAATATTTTTGCTAGAGGGGCCCTGTGTTCTGGGCATGGTCCAGATTGGGTGGTACCACACACCTGGGACAGTCAGGAGACGTCACACAGGCGCTGAGCTCTAGTCTGAATGTTCTGGAATGCTGGTCTACATCCTAGGGCTAGCAAGGCTCATCTGAATCACCTTGGAGACTTTTTAAATTAGAAGGTTCTTCTTCCTCCTTCTTAAACTCCTTCCTCCAGGAATCATAAACTAGTATATTTCAGAGGGTAACCCGAGAGTCTGTCCATATTTTTATGCATTCCCACATAACAATCATTATTAATTATTCCTCACTCTTGTCTCACTCCCCAGTTCAGTCATTCTCAATCCTGGCTGCCCCCTGGAATCGCCAGGTAAACCTGGACACTACCAATGGCTAGTTCTCCCTGCTGATGGTTGGTTTTTATTGGTTTTAAGCAGAGCCCAGGTGTTAGCAAAATCTCCCTCATGAATATTGCGTGCAATCCATATTGAAAACTGCCTCTTCTGATGCAGGAGTATCTTCAATAATATGCAGACCGAAGGGAAGTTTGCCCTCCTTTTCTAAAGGCCCCAGTGACACAGAATCTCCTTCGTCATTATGAAGTCAACTTCAATTTGGAGGGTCCAGTAGCAAAATAAAAAATTTTTTTGAAACCAGAATCTGCTTCATGGCACCTAATTGTCATGGTCCTGATTCTCCCTATGGATTAAATTGGCCCATGGGCTGTTAGAATATTTCTCTGCTTTAGCTGATGTCTCTTCTCTAGGCTGGCCACACTTTCTTCATAGTTCTAGGGCAGGAAGCAAGGCTGGCAGGAGATCTTATTCAATCAATACATACTTATTTGGAGCCTAGTAGCTTTCAGGTGCACCAGGCTTTAGGAAAACAGGCCAGACATGCGAGCACAGTCTCACCAGTGTAGGGTTGAAAACACATCCCAGTGGAGGCAGCTTGTAAGTGCCGGCATCCATAGTCAGCCTGGGCTCCAGTTCCAGTTATGCCTTAATCCGCCTGTCACTCCAGGCAAGCTATTTCCCTGAGCTTCAGCTCCTCCAGTCATAGAGTGGTGATAATAACACAAATATTTGTGGGGTATTATGTATCAGATAATAGAAATTCAAAAAAGGTACAATATGATATCCAATTTAGGACAAAATATGCATGTAACCCACAATGCACATTGATAATGTATCATAGGAAGTGACACTAGAAGAATTGAGAAAGGGAAAGACAGCATAGTTTTCATGAGCTTCACACCTGGGCACATCACATAAAAAAAACTGGTAATCAGGTTGGCCAATGTTCAGCATATAATACCTATTGACTCCTTGCGTAGCACTAACTCGGTGAGCTAGATGAGATAATGTGCATGCCCTTTGTGGGTCTACTATAGATATTAGCTGTCATCCTGTTGCCTCAATTGTCCTTATTCCAAAATGGACAAGACTGACTCCAGACCTGAGAACAGAGGTCTCAGAGTGCCTAAAATCCTTCTAGCTGGAAGAACCAAACTACAAGACTGTACCCTGGGATACAGATACCTACAAGTCACTGCAGGAACTGTAGAAACACAACACCTGCTTTTGGAGGAGGGTCCCTGTGTCTTCTCATTTTAATCTTCTAAGCAATAGGGTTCAGTTCTATTGCTTCCTCCCCAAACAGTTAATGGCTTTTGACCACTGTAAAATAAATCCAGATAGGTACACAGGTAGTATTGATTTACTTAACAATAAATATATTTGTAAATGTCTGTTTTCAGTCTTGTCAACACATTATGCAATTTTCTACTTCCTTGCACTAGCTAATCAATCTTCCTCATTGGAAATACTTTCCTCTAAGTTTTGCTGATCGCTCCTATCTTTCCATTACAATGGTGCTTCTGTACCTGGGCTAGAAGTTAGAATCGACTGGAGCACATTAAACAATCCTGACACCTGTGGTGAGGTATGGTCGGTGGGGTTTTTGAAAACTGCTCATTAATTTTATTCTACATTCATTTTGAACCCCACTGCCTCACAGCTGGGATAAACCTTCAGCTCTAAGCTGCAGCCTTCTCTAATCACAGCAACTGTAGTGATGGCTCCTACATCTGAATTCTAGCAGTAATTACTTCTCAGGAACACCAACTACAGACAGTTTCACAATATAGTTATTTACAGAATGATCACTAGGTCAAATTAGGTGTACATTCTAGGTTAGATCGCTTCTACTATAGCATGTAGAAATCTTAGAAAGTGAATCCCTGAGCCTTCATTTCCTCATTTATATCACAATACGAGCACTGTATTAGATGATTTCTCAGTGGCCTCACAGATTAAGTACATATTTTGAAAGTCAGCATCTTGTCTTCTAAAATAATTTGCAATTCCCTGGAGGGCAGGGACCACATCTCATGCTGCTTTTGTTCCTCACAAGCAGTGGAGTGTTTCAGTTAAACTACATATCTTACTTTTCCTGTGCCTGCTCCATCACAAGTTTCTAGAGAAAGCTCATTCTCACCATTTCTTTGGCTGTTACTAAAAAAATTACTCACCATTCTTAGCTCCCACATTATCTTTGGAACTATCTGTTATAGGCACCATTTGTTAGGCACTACAATAATCACTTTACATCCATGACACATGTTCAAATATAATTATAATTCTGAGTGGTGGATATTATGTCGTCCAATGTTTGTTTGTGGGTTGGTTTCTAAATTAGTCCTGTTTGCATATGTTATTTTTTCAATAAAAAGAGAATTATGATAGCTTGATGGTGTGGACCTCCACCGACCAGATAAATTGGTGAAAACTATAAAAAAAAATTAAAGATCCCTGGAAATGGTACAAAGTACAAATAGCAAATAAAGAAACATCTATTCAAGAACAACTACAAAAATCAGCAAGGAAGAACAGAATCTGTCTTATTTTGAATGAAGATGGCTACAGCTCAGTGAGGTAGACTCTCCACTCCAGACTGCTGGTGCTGCCAAGCACTGGGGTCCCTTTCCCTGGCTCTCAGCTGGAGGCTGTCTTCCCAGAACATCCACATTTCTCATCTCACCTCCAGCTACTTTGTGTTGGGGCTGAGTCTTGGGTGACTGCATTGCCCACTCAAAGCATGGCAGGTTGATGACACCAGGCTCCTCATAACCCTGACTCAACTAATGAGGTGGTGATCCTAGGCCTGCAGACATAAACCAAGAGTCCCTCAGCTGGCTGCTTCACTAGCCCACCCAGCACCACCGACTAGAGTGTGATGTCACTCGAAGAGAGACTTGTCATTGTCCCAACCCAGGCTCCAGAGTCCTGGTTAAGAGATATGCTGGGGGAGAAACAGATTTAAAACAGCTCCTGATCCCTTCCCAAAGGCATTGACTTCATTTGCAATAAAATAAGGAAAAAGTCAAGACCAAGGGCTTTCTCAAGAAGAATGGAGTTGTGGTGAAAACCCTGAAAGGAATTTATGAGTCACATAATGGTACAGGTTAGACCATGATCCAGCTAGCTTTCAGAAGACAGATGTACACTTGAGCCTTGAACAACACGGAAGTTAGAAGCCCTGACCCCCTATGCAGTTAAAAATCTGTGTATAATATTTGGCTGCCCCAGAAACGAACTATTAATAGCCTACTGTTGACAGGAAGTCTTACTGATAACATAAACAGTTGACTAACATAGATTTTGTAGGTTATATGTATTACACATTGTATTCTCATAATAGAGTAAGCTAGAGAAAGGAAAATATTATTAAGTAAATCATAAGAAGGAGAAAATATATTTACTATTCATTCAGTGAAAGTGGATCATCATAAAGGTCTTTACCTTTATCGTCTTTACGCTGAGTAAGCTGAGTAGGCTGAGAGGAGGAGAAAAAGGAGGTGTTACAGGTAGTTAGACAAGCATGAGCGGGGCAGGAGAGGGAGGGCTCCTTCCCCACCAACTAGAAATATCCGGTGATGGTTTGGCACTTACCACATTGCCTCTTTAAAAGTGATAAATTCGCAGCCGGTGCCAGGGAGAGGCCATTTTCGGAAGATTCACAAGTGCTGTACTAAAATGTTAATTGAATGCAGGCACCACGGAGACACAGCTTCCTGAGCGTGCGCATTAAGAGACAAAACGGCAGAGTGTGACGTTCTGAGGACAGTCCCCTGGAAAACGGAAGAAAGCCTCAGAGAGGCTTGTCTGCAACTTCCTAAACATACCGCGCATGCTCACCTCCCCAGGGTAAGAGCGTCCTTACTGCGCATGTCCATACCGCGCAAGCTCACCTCCCCAGGGTAAGAGCGTCCTTACTGCGCATGTCCATACCGCGCATGCTCACCTCCCCAGGGTAAGAGCGTCCTTACTGCGCATGTCCATACCGCGCATGCTCACCTCCCCAGGGTAAGAGCGTCCTTACTGCGCATGTCCATACCGCGCAAGCTCACCTCTCCAGGGTAAGAGGTTGCTTACTTCCACCCTAAGGGAAAAACCATGGGAAAGGGCCCAGCGTTTAAAGTCTTAGGATGAAGGTTAAACACTGCACGTGACCTCGGTGCCCCCTTGAGTCTCTTCCAAGCGTACTTTCCTTATTTTCTTTCCCGTTTTAAATCCTTTTAAAATAAACTTCCACTCCTGCTCTGAAACCTGTCTTGGTCTCTTTCTGCCTTGTGCCCCTCAGTCAAATTTCTTCTGAGGAGGAGGCAAGAATTGAGGCTGCTGCAGACCCATGAGGATTCGCCATCAGTAACTCGGATACCTTCCACCGGTTACAGAGGCGTTGGTTTTACTGTCTCATGGGTGGCAGAGGCAGAAGAAAAACCACATATAAGTAGATTTTTTTTTTTTTTTTAATCATAGCTCATACCTGTGTTGCTCAAAGGTCAACTGTAGATTAGAACAGCTGGGTAGAGTCCTCTTAGTGTCAGAACAAATATCAAAAACTGACTTCACAGCGTGGTCAAAATGGTGAAACCTCCTCTCTACCAACAATACAAAAAAAAAAAAAAAATTAGCCGGATGTGGTGGTGTGTGCCAGTAATCCCAGCTACTCGGGAGGCTGAGCCAGAAAAATTCCTTGAGCCCAGGAGGCAGAGGTTGCAGTGAGCCGACATTGTGCCACTGCACTCCAGTCTGGGTGACAGTGAGATGCTGTCTCAAAAAAAAAAAAACCAAAAAACAACAAAAAAAAAACAACTGACCTCAGAAACAGATTCATCCAAGAAGCCACAATCTCTGAAGAAGAGATACAAATGGTCAATTAGCACAAGAAAATATGCTTGGCATCATTAGTCATCATAGAAATGTAAGTCAAAACCACAATGAAATACAACTGCACTCCCATTATGATGGCTAGAATCAAAAAGTCAGATAAATGTTGGCAAGAATCTGGAGAAATTGGAACACTTGTGCATTACATTACATTACTGGTAGAAATGTAAAATGGGGTAAAATCCTTTGGAAAACAGCCTGTCAGTTCCCATAGTAATTAATGGTTTTTGTATCATTCAGCAATTCCACTCCTAGGTATGTGTCCAACTGAAATGAAAGGATATGTCCACAAAAATGCTTGTACATGAATGTTTATGGCAGCATCATTCATAATACCCAAAAGGTAAAAATAACTCAAATGTCTGTCAATAGGTGAATGGATAAGCAAAATATGAAATGACCATACAATGCAATATGACTTGCCTATAACAAATATGGAGTACTGATACATGTTAGCATATGGATGAACCTTAAAAACGTTCCACCAAATGAAAGAAGCTCAACACAAAAGACCACATATTATATGAGTCAGTTTATTTGAAATGTCCAGAATAAATATATCTACAGAGATAGAAAGTGGATTAGTAATTATTCAGGGCTGAGGTTGGGGACAAAGGGAATAATGATATTCTAGAATTGATGGTGATACTATTTGCATGTATCTGTGAATATCCTAAAATCCACTGAATTGTACACTTTACATTGGTAAATTTTATGTTCTGGGAATTATATCTCCATAAAGCTATTAAAAAAAAAGAAAAGGAAAAACAGATTAGACTTAAGGATATCAAAACAAAAAGGAACAGTTGCCAAGATGGTGTTAGAGGAAAAAAAAATCATTCGGGGTTCTTCCCATGGAGGATAAAGAAAGAGCAAGCAGCGTTGCCAAGGAGAGCCTTCAGAGCATAATACAGACCTGACTTGAACTAAGGGAGGGTAAAAGCGGGGGATGCTTGGGTAGAAGGAGCCTCAGAGTGCAGTGAAGCTCTGAGCATTTCTAACCCAGCCTCAAAAGGAGCTCTGGCATAAAGCATGGCTATTAATGAGTCTTGCATGGGTGGATGGTTTCTTGTACTGCTGTCTTGCCTAGTCACTGGCTGGGAGCTGCTAGGAGAAGCATGACCTCAGTTCAAACACTGTCGTGGATCCCAAAGGTGCAATTGCTGAAGGCCATCAGCTAATTACCCTTCTTATAGCTGATCAACAAGTTCTTAAAGATAAATTGGAGTATCATAAGTCCATGTCTGCCACAAGGAGCCTTGAAGTAAATTATGTTTTAGATCTTGAAATCATCATTACAGAGGAAATATCAGTGTTAGCCGTGGTGAATCTGTACAGGTCTCAGCAACTCAATTCCTGCTTCCTCACGGGAAAGAATTCATCTGAGCAGCGTAAGGCAGAGTGACAGACTGAGGCAAGGTTTAGGGTTGGAGTGAAAGTTTTATTAAAAAGTTTTAGAGCAGGAACAAAAGGAAATAAAGTACCCTTGGAAGAGGTCCAGCCGGGCAACTTGAGAGATTCAAGTGCACCATTTAGTCCTTTGACTTGGGATTTTATATGTTGACATATTTCAGAGTTTTTTGCATCTCTCCTTCTTTGATTTTTCACTGGAGTGGGCTGCCCACAATGAGCAGTGGCCTGCAAGCACTTAGGAGGGGCTACAAATGCAGTGTGTTTACTGGAGTTGTGCACATGGTCATTTGAGGCATTTCTTACCAGTCAAGTATTCCTAGAGGAGGGTCATTATACCAGTTAAACTATGCCATTTTGCCTCTTAGTGCACATGCTCAAGCCTACTCACGCAACTCCTTGAATCTTACTGAGAAGCTGCTAATCATCAGCTGCAGGCATTTTCTATATATTGGAAGACTACCTTTCCCTAGCTCCAGATGTGAGCAATTATTATTTTAGACAAACAGTTTAACAACCTCTTGACCATCACCTGATGGTTGCCTTCCATTCCTCAGAGGGGGCTCCCTCCTGCCCTGCGCATGTCTGCTTAGCTACCCACTCTAACATCAGGATTCTGATGAAAATGACAGTAAATCCAGTGTCATGAGTATATGGAACTTATTTTCTAAATCCTAAATCACAAATCATAATAAATAGTTTGATCAATTTTTAAATTATGAAATCATATAATTTCTGATGCATAGTTTAGAAATATTTCCTCTTAGTACAGCATTTATAGCACCGTAAAGATTATTGACCTATTGAACAGGCACAGCTGATACAACATTCTTACTAGACTTTTTAAATTATTATTATTTTGAGACAGGGTCTCGCTCTGTCACCCAGGCTTGAGTGCAATGGTGTGACCTCAGCTCACTGCAACGTTCACCTCCTGGGTTCAAGCGATTTGTGCCTCAGCCTCCTGAGTAGCTGGGACTACAGGTGCATACCACCATGCTGGGACAATTTTTGTATTTTTAGTAGAGAGGGGGTTTCACCATGTTGGCCAGGCTGATCTCAGATTTCTGGCCTCAAGTGATCCACTTCCCTCGACCTCTTAAAGTGCTAGCATTACAGGCGTGAGCCACCATGCCCAGCCCTTTTTAGGCTTCTTAATGTAGAATAATTAAAAGAGACATCAATGTTTGACAAGTCTGTTATGAATGCATGGCATATGAAAAAGTAAAAATCCCTTAGGCATTAGGAGTCCCCCAAATCTGATGTCCTTTATATAAGGGAGTTGACTCTAGAGGTCTTTCACTTCCAGATTATCCACTGGTCATGATGATATTTGCAATAATAATTAAGACTTATCAATTCTAATTTTTTATAAACTGCTTGTGATGGTGATTAAGCTCTTATCTCCCAGCTCCAAACACAATGTTTGCTCCTTTGCTTTGTGATGCTGGATTTAGGCTCTGCAGATAATTTTTCTGCTGTGCCAGCTGACTCTAAATTCAGTTTTGGCAAAAGGCTTACAAGAGCAAGGCAGGCAAAAGGAGGTAAGGATTTGTTTTTTTCTGCTTTTTCCCTGTCTTTTTCCTGGTCCTACAAACATCATCCTAAAATCACCCTATGCTTCTGTCTGCAGCAGCAGGTAAAGACACTTAGCAGCTCTTCAGTACTCAGAGAGCCAGAGACGAATCCTGTCTTCTCATAGAGCCCAGCAACTGCCTTTCCTTGGGAGTCTTATGTTTCAGCTCCATGCACCCCTCCTTGAGGCTTCTAAGTTCCAATAGTACACATCTCTCTCTCTAGTTCTGCCAGTCCTAAAGAGTAGGGCAAGCTACTTCCTGTAGTTGCTACCCTCATGTATTAGTGTTGTGGTTTGTTTGTTTTCTTCCTTTTTTTCAGTTCCCTACTTAATTTTATATAAAAACCTGCTCAGGTCCTCCCTTAAAATTATGTTCTCTCTCATATGTTATATACTTTCTCTTAAAATATTTGCTGTTTTTCAGTTATATCAGTTATATATTCAGTTTCCTAATTGAACCCGACTAATACAGTACTTTATGCACAAGATCTAATATAATTTTTCCAATAACCTATCTAAATAGATATTATCCCTATTTTACAGATGAAGCATCACAGCCTCAGAAATTGTTACTTGCTCAGAAACTCCATGTTTGTTAATGAGAGACCTAGATCAAAGTGTGAGGAATTCCAAAAATCTTACCCTTAATCGCCATCATAGGGTGTTTTCTGATGAGAGACCATGGGATTCCTGACTTTCTTCGGGCACAGTTGTTTGCTCCTCTTCCAGAACTTTCTGGAATTAGTTTTCACTCTGTGTTTCTGCCATGAGCATAACTGTATGTTTGGCTCCATAAAACATTCTAAAATATTTCACTCACATTTTCATAGTCTTAGTAATATAGACTGCAAGAAAAAAAAAAGAATTCTAAATCATAGATAAGACATTTCTTAAATTTAGTAATGTTGATATCTTAACTTCTCCTTAACCTTTATTTTTTTCAAGGAGCTGAGGCATTTCCA